CAGAGAAAAAAGAGGAAAGAGGAAAAGAAGCAACACTACACTCTTACTACAGAGAGGTCCTAGATTATGCATTAGTAGGGCCACTGTTTTCTTATCTAACCTGCACTGTGGTCAAAGAGTTTCACAGTTTTTCTCTTGCTGCATCATATTTTTCCAGAGCACCTTTCTCTGCTCTCTGGCTCTGCCAAATGGGCTAGTCTGTTATTGTTTTCAACACTCTGGTTATAAGCCAGTTAGGACCTTTGGTGGTCAAACCCAATATCTTGAATTATGCTAGCTACAGAGTATCTACTGGTATTCTCCAAGTTAGTTCCCATTGTGGGAGAAAGGCAGGGTATAAATACTTGAAATAAAATAAATAATAAAATATTTCCATGAATTTGGGAGTATTCTGTTTTTGCCATCTATCTTACATAACTGTTTTGAGCTACAATGCTTCTTTCACCCTGCCATTCTGATCATCACATCACTCTGACACCTCTGGAGGGTTTGGCATCAATGCTAATTTATCTATTAAGAAATCCAGATGATGGAGATGTGATACTGTTTAAAATATTCCTAGCATGTGCATCTATAGAAAAGAGTAAAAGAGCCATTTGTCAGAATTGCATAGTCCTGGGACAGCAAATATTCCGTGAGTGAGAACTAGTTATGCACTGGTGGTATTTATATATTATTCCTGTTTCAGGGGTAGTCTCATGGGAACATGTTTCTATACATCCAAATGAATCTTCTCTCTCTCTTCTCTGTCTATTGCATGGAGGCCTTCAGTTTTCCTTCACTGAAAGGATATGCATGAAGGCAGCAATGGGAAATCCCCTTTAAACTCACTGTTCTAAACCAAACTATATTTATCCCTAATGTGAAAATGCCATCCTACAGCCAGCAGAATATGGATAACAGAACAATGTGGCATAGGTTCAGCTAGTTGTGATGTGTGGTTGAATAAGAAGGACCAACATGTAGAGTTTGGGGAAAGAACCTTGTTAAATAAATTAATTGATTCATCAGTTCATTAGTTTTTGCCCTAACATAACGTTGATTGAATTTTGCCATGTTTTTAGTTACCCCTGGCCATTTTAGAACTGGGAGAGAGTTTTAAAATTATAGGACTAGAAGTATAGGCATAGAAGTTACTTCTTGTTTACTTTTACTTTTAAAAAGGGGCACTGTTGGGTACAAAAAAGCCCTGGAAGGGATGAATATGGGCTGCAGGCCACACTTATATCACCTTTGGCATAGAGGATGCAATAATTTCTAGACATATTTTTTCAGAGTCATTATAAACATTTCTGATACTGCTGAAATTAACATACTGGTCTTTGTAAGTAGCTACTTATTGCTGAACTTTCAGTGGATCAGTTTTCTCTGCTGAAATTAACATATCATTCCTTACTAACTTTTAACATTACTCCTTATTAACCTTTAACAAACAGGGTGTCTGAAAGATGAATGAATAGTGTATATGTTAGCAGAGGGGGGAAATAAAAGAAGAAAGATTCAGACCAATGAGGAAACAACAGAACAGGTTGTAAGATGATATTCCATGAAAAAATAGACAGGTTGGAGGAAGGCAATATTGCAATGACAAAAGGAGCACTTTTGAAGGAACCAATAATAAAATGTATTCCTGGAAAGTGGTAGGCAACTGAAAAACAGTTTGGAACCTCACATGAGACTTAGCATTGGGTGTCTCATTTTGGTTTTTTGTTTTTAAAATCATGAAAAAGTCTCTTCCAACTGCTATAGGGCATCAGGCTATTTTGTCATTTTAAAGGCCCATCTATGCTGTTGTAAGCTCAAGAAAGGGCTTTTTTTTCAATCAGGAAGTAAAAAGGAAGCTGACTTTCATTTATTTCCTATTTGAAAAAGAGGTTATTGAACCATCTTGGAGGCTTATTGAGCTGTCTTGGAGGCAGGGAAGAGGAGGGGCAACCCCACGCGCGGCACCCCTTCCTCCTCCCGAGGTTGCCCTCAGAGCTGCTGGCCCTCCGCACAGCCGGCACTCCGGGGGCAACCTCCCGCCACAGCGTCCGCACACGCTGCAGTGGAAAAGTCAGGGAAAGTGCGCCCTGCGCGTTTAGGGCGCACTTTCCCTGACTTCTGAAAGGAGCGCCAATTTTGCGCTCCTTTCAGGGATGCCACCTGTGCGCCACGGTGTGGCTGCCTCGCTCCAGTGACACATCATCCCGCGGCGTCCCCGATGCCGTCGGCTGCTTCCCCCCAAGTCTCTCTTCATGGTGAAATTGTTCCCAAGAAGTTAAGGGGTGATTTTTAGTAGAAAATAAAAATAAAAATTAAAAAACAAAATTTAAAAAATTACCAGAACATTCTTTGGGGGTGTTGGGGACACACTGGGGGCCTCAAAAAGAGATATGGGGCCACATGCAGCCAATAGGAAGCACTTTTCTATGGATAAATGGTGACAATCTCCATGTCATTCTCTGTAAACTCCATGATCTGCTTTCAAAACTAATATCTAAGTAACCACTTGATTTATTTTTAACAAGCCATCCCTACCATTAGTGTAGCTGTCAAAGAATCAACCCCCAGATTTGTAGCATTTAACATTAACAAATTAATCTTAAGACCTAATAGTCCAAGCTTTGCTCACATGATATATCCCACTTTTGTTATTCTGGTAGTGAGAAACTGCACAATATAAAAAGACAGGGCAGTTGCCAAAAGAAAAGGCCAGCATCAGCTTCACCAACCTCTCATTCTGTTTACCTATATTCAGATGATATTGCAATTGGACTTTCTATGTCCCATCTCCACATTACTGGATATTGCTGTCCAACAGTGGATGGAATAAACAGGGTCAAAGTCATAGAGAAAGTGAGAGAATTCTGGTTTTAAGGCATCCCTCACTAGATCATTCTAGACAATAATATTATCATCACTTCTTTTGACACATGCCCCTTTACCTCTACATTCGTCCACAAGCCAATACGCTCTAAATAGTTCACCTTAGAGCATACTGAAACAATGCTGAATAATTCAGCAGAAAAGTTTAAATTCAGTCCATGAGTACAGTGTAAAGCGTGTGTACAGCAGAGACGTACCTTTAAAATGGAAAATAAAAAATTCATATGAAATCATCAGAAGAAAACAAGGCTTGCTATTTTTAATTTCCTTTTTTTAAAAAACAAAACAAAACAAAACAAAACAAAACACCCACTAACACAGGCCTCTTTGTTCCTTTGATAAGCGTCATAAAAATTTAACACAACTAATTTTTGCCTGCAGTGATTCTTTCTTATTAGACATTTATTTACACAAATTACTGGTTCTACATTAAATTATATTCTTTCAACTCCATGCACAGATTACTTTGAAGGACTAATAGAAACACATCCATCTCTTGCTTATATGATAAAATCAACATTTCTATTTAAGATGAGTCTAGATTAGTTTGCTTCAAGGAACGAGAGTACAGTTTTTTGTTTACGTATAGTAATGATGAGGACTACATAAATCCATATACAATCTAACCTTTCTATTTAGGACAGGGATGATGTAACAGGGTGTAAAGTTAATTGGTTTTCACAAATGGCACAAATTGTTATTTGCATTTCTCACATCTCAATTCATATGAAAAATATATAATACCTAGAATGCTAATACAGTTTTATACATGTAGGATGATCCATGCTCTCTATTGCTTGTAACTGACAAGCTAAAACAGCTGTATATGTAGGAGGAAACAATCACACGATACTACAGAAGGAGCCTGAGGTGAAAGAGGGGAATAATTTTTGAGAATACTTAATCTCCTAAGAAAAAAGATTCTCCTGTTTTTGGTGACTTTTGGGAGAGGGAGTATATGCAAACAGACAAACTCCCTCTCCCAAAATATTTACACTTTCAGAGTAATGAGAAGGACCATCAACAGATATCATCACATACCCAAATCAGTTTTGGTACTAACCAAGTAAGCTGTTTTAACTCTGAGCCAACTCTGTGGTTCCTCTGGACATTCTGTAAGAAGTTTTGATAAGGAGACCACAAGGTATTTCTTTAAATTGTGGCACAGCAGTAACAATACATCCATTGGAAGCAGTGAACCATTTTTAACTGTCTTCCATTCTGTTTCCAGATTGTTAAATGTCTGATCATTCAAAGCTTTGCTTAATAAAGTATCTCTGTCAGTGTGATCCAAAAATGCTACTCTAAATCTTCTGAGAGATATTCTCTGTAAATACAAAGGAAGCTATTGGCTTTCACAGCAATAGAATTTTGTCAATGATTAATGCTTAATGTTATTAAGGAATAATTAAAGAGCTGAAGTAGAGTCTTTTGTGCTTCCTAATCTTGGTTCTTGCTGTACATATGATTGTTTGTTAAATGGCAACACGTATCGATTTGGCAAATTCCACCCCACATTGTATATTTCCATCCAGTCAGTGTTTCTCTGTGTGGTTCAGCATTTTTAAATGTCAACAGCAAAGTATTATTGATCAGTAATTAAAAGTGCAGAGAAAAAATTAGCATAGTAGAAGTTTAAGGTCATTAGTACAAGTACTGTTAGACAATTATTTAGCTTGTTTTAACATTTATTTCCTTTCCAGGTATTGACACCCATTGCAGTTCCCACTGAAACATTTTCATCTTGCTAAAAAGGCACATTTAGCAATCACAACACATTGGCAATACAATAGAATCATGGTATTTGACTTTCAAGCTGATGTGGCAGTTCCTAAAGGTAATCTCATTTGATGGATCATTTTGAAGTACAAAAAGGACTCAGTGTTTTGGGGATATAACCAAATTCAGATTACTTCTAGCAAAAAAAATCTATGGTTCTAAAGATCAAATCTTTCTCTGGTGTCATGCAGACGTGACACAGATTTGTGTGTGTATGTGTCTTCAAGTCACTGGTTGTCTTAGGGCAACCCTATGAATTTCTTGCTTCCTTTCAAATTCTCTTTTGCAAATACTGATGTCAATTTTTTTTTCCAGATATGACTTCAATGGTTTGTTATTAAACAACAATTTCAGCCTGTGTGATGTAGTGGTTTGCATGTTGAACTAAGACTTTGAAGACCAGGGTTTGAATCCCTACATAGTCATGGAAATCCACTGGGTGACTTTGGACAACTCATATTCTCTTAGTCTCAGAGAAAGCCAAAGACAAATCCCTTCTGAACAAATCTTGCCAAGAAAACCTTGACATATAAGCCATAAGTCAGAAATGACTTGAAAGTGGACAACAACAACACAACATTTGACACTGTATTTTCATATTTTATATCTGATTTTTCTGAATCATAAATTCATAGAATTATAGAGCTGACAAAGACCTCAATGTTATCTAATCAAACCCTGCCAGTGCAGGATTTTCCCCTCCCAGTTCCTCATATTTAAAGAATAACTGATGTTCAGTAGTTGATCTGTAATGGCATATAGAATTTTACAATATTAATAGTTGATTAACCAATAGCACTACCTTTCTATGGTGGTGGGATTATTTGCTCCTGTGAGGCGAGAGGTTATGCTTATGGCAGCAGTGCTGCTGGTAGGGTCTCCCATTACAGACAGGCATTTGCTGAGAAGTCAGTTGAAATGTGCCAAACAGCTACTGGGCAGCATCAGCAGTAGAAGGTGGCACTGATGTAAGATTTCTCAGAGACAACAGCAGTGGCACCATAACTAATGCTTTTTAGTACTGTGCAGAGGGACACATGGTAAACCTCCTTTTGAAGATCTTTTACCACAAAAATACTACAATGAGGCAATCCAAAATGAAACAAGAGATAGTGTCAGAAGATGATACTCCCAGGCCATATGACACTCAGTGAGTTACTGGGATATAGCAGATGACAAATACAAGTAGTACTGTAGCTAACAATGCAACTGGACTCAAGTCGAAAGGACATTCTGCTGTTCATGTGCTCAGAAGTGAAAGGAAAACCTGAAGCTGCACAATACATATTAGAGGAACATAGAACATGAGAAGCATGAATCAGGGGAAGCTAGACATAGTAAGACAAGAAAGAGAATATATAAACTTTGCAACATTTGGGGTGAGGGAGCTAAATTGGACAGGAATGGAACATTTTCTGCCAGATAATTACATAGTTATTCCAGAAATGCAAATTTAAGGAGAAATAGAATGGCATATGTAGGAAATTGATCACACATCAAAACTTCTTTTAATCATTGGAATGCAAAGATAGGAAAAAGAACAGAACTGAAGATTGTAGGAAAATTTGGCCTAGGATCAAGAAATAAGACAAGAGACTGACTGACTGAATTTTGCAAGGCCAACAGTTTGTCCATCACAAATACATTCTTCAAGCAACCCAAGAAGCAAGAATTTAATGATAATGTGAAAAAAAGATATGCACTATTAAGATTAATTGACCAGGAGTCAGAAGAACTCTGGACTGAAACTGAAGCCAGGGACATTGTCAGGAAATAATGAAAAGGGAAAAAAGACACTACCTGTAACCAAAAAGAAAGAGAAGCCTTAATGGAAGACAGATGAAACTCTTCAAGCAGTTAAGGACAAAAGTAAGAGGTGACAGAAATAGAGTCAGAGCCTGAATGCAACTGTTCAATGTGCAGAGACAAAAACTACTATAATAATCAATACAGAAAAATAGAAGGTGTTAATAAAAAGGTAAGAGCAAGAAACTTCTTTTACAAGATCAGAGAAGTCAAAGAGAAATTTAAACCAAGAGTAGGGATGCTCTAAGACCAGCAAGGAAACACATTATTACATGACTGACTAGAAATAAAAAGATGATGGAAACAATACATGGAAGAACTATATAAGAGATGAAAGGATGATAGATTCATGTGAGGATCAACCATATGAAAATGAACCTGCAGTTTTAGAAAGTGAAGTGCAAGCTGCACTCAGAATGCTTGAGAGAAATACATCACTAGGAACAGATGGTATACCAACAGAACTGATTCAGCCTACAAAAACAGAGTCTACTCTAGTTCTAAAATCTGTCAACAAATATGGAAACCAAAACAATGGTTCCACAGACTGGAAATGCTTGTTATACACTAGGCAACAGGAATCATATTGAAAAAATATGTTGGACAATGGAGCACACCAAGAATTTCAAAAGAAAGTCAGTGCTTCATATATTATAGCAAAGGCTTTGATTGTATACATCTTGAAAAACTAAGGAAATGGGTGAACCACATGTAATTGTCCTGATATGTAACCTGTAGTCAGGACAAGAGGCTACTATTAGGACAAAACACAGAGAAATAGAATGGTTTCCAGTTGACAAGAGGAAGGCAAGGATGCATTTTATCACTCTATCTATTTAACTTGTATGTTGAACATATCATACATAAAGCAGGATTAGAGGAAGAAGGTGTGAAAATTGGAGGGAGGAACATCAACAATTTAAGACAGGGGTAGGCAACCTTTCCCCTTTAAGGGCCGAGGGACTTCAGCTCCCAAAATCCCAGGAGCTATTGGCCAACATGGCTGAGGCTTCTGGGAGCTAAAGTCCCTCAGCCCTTAAAGGGGAAAGGTTGCCTACCCCTAATTTAAGATATGTAGATGGCACCATACTACTAGCAGAAAATAGCTATGGAAGAGTTCTGTGGATACTGTGAACTGGTAAAAAGAAAAAAAAATGGTCCTAGAGCAGATCAAGCCTGAACTCTGCATAGAAACCAAGATGATTAAACTGAAACTGTCGTACTTTGGCCATATCATGAGAAGACATAGCTCACTAGAAAAAAACAATCATGTTTGCTAAGGTAGAAGACAGCAGAAAGAGTGGAAGACTGTATCCCAGATGTCTAGATTCAGTCAAGGAAGCCACAGCCCTGAGTCTGCAAGACCTGAACAGGGCAATTGAAGACAGAGTGACTTGGAGGTCTCTCATTCATAGGCTGCTATAAGTTGAAGTCAACTTGGTGGCAGTTAACAACAGCACATACTATAGTTTTGAAGCTCTCTGTTTTCACATTTCACAGTTTTACTTCTTACATTGACTACTCTGTCAAGCATCCCTTCTGTAATATGGACAATTCTGTGGTTTATTGAATGGTGCACACCAAGTTCACATGGAGGAACTTGAGTATCATCATCATTACCACACTAGCTATGTTTGGATAAAATATTAAACCAGAATTCTTCCAAACTCCAGTTTATCTACTGTCTCACCAATCTCATCTGTTTAGAAATTAAGCAGGGTTTGGATAAAAGACCACCAGCTAATACCATGGATCAGGCAAGACTAGGAAAGAATCCTACCTGAAAGTTTGGAGAGGCACTGCCCATCAGAATTGACAATACTGGACCAGCTGGCTGACTTCATAGGAGGTGGCTTCATATCTGTCTCACTCCACTAGGATTTGGTTCTACTTCTACTGTAGCCATTAATAGTGTTGTTCTAAAAGGTTTCCCAGAAAGTGCATGGATACTCTTTAAGGGTGGGTGCAAATAGCAGATCTGGAGGAAGCAGTGAGATCCACCAGGGGTACACAATTGGTTCCTGACTGTGCTTTCCTTATCATAACCTTTGAACTTGGCATGCTGGCTTGTCTCTTCCTCAAGAAACCAGAGTAATGAACAAAGAACAGACTGTGGGTTATGTCTCTGTTTTGTCCTGTTTGCAGCAGAAATGATTGGGAAACATAGACCAGCATATTGCCTCATCCCACATAAATAAGAATTTGAAATAATGCTTGCTTATCATTGTGCCTCAATATGGTCACTCCATGAAACAAAAACATGCCTTTCAACACACCCAACATTGCCCATTATTGGACTGCAACTTCTACCATCCCTCTTCATTGGAAATATACTGCCTGAAATGATAGATATTAGCATCAAATAACATATGAAAGGCCATGAGTTGCCCACCATCTCTCTTCATTGGAAGTATACTGCTTCAGGGCACCTGGATAGCACTCTGCCCCCTCAGCCTGAACAGCCACTTCACCTAGTTAGCAGCTACCACTTCTCAGATCTTCACCTAGGTACACTCATGGGGCTCAATGCTCTGACAGCACCAAGTAGGAACTTGGCATAAGATTACTGCCAATAACAAACATTTAGGCTTTAGTATCATGCTCTCTCTCTATCTCTCTTTTTCTTTCTGTCCTATATGCCATCTTTTGCCTTTGTGTAGCATCCAACTTGAAGAACACTTCTTGAATCAAAAGAACTCCAAATTTTGCTCACTACTTCCTGACATTTTAATTGGCTGTGTGCTTAAAAGTATTAAGTCCTCCTCCTCCTCAAATCATAGAGTTGGAAGAGACCACACGGCCATCCAACCCAACCCCCTGCTCTGCAGTAATACACAATCAAAACACCCTCCTCTTCCTCCAATAACAACAACAGCAACAACAAAGAAATATATGATGTATGCATAAGGTTTCCTTCTCTCCACATTTTATTTTGGCTTTTATTTCCCTTTAGTGTGCCCAGTTGTCAGTGCTACATTTCAGCACTGATGTTAAGCACACTGGTAACCTCTTCTGAACTGCAGCCCGTTGCTTTAGTTAAATTCATAAATACACAGGCACATACACATATACAAAAATGTCATCACAGGCCTTTCCACTGTAAGAGTAACCTTTACACAGACTTTCCAACTTGTCTGGTCTTCCTTGAAGGTCGATTGGGTTTTCAACTCTGTTATCTGCTAGGTGTTTGATGGAGTGGTCCAGATAACAGAGGAGAGAGCAAAGGAAAAAGGTTTTTTTGAAGATCAAAAGTGGCTGTTCATTTTGTTATCTGACCCTATCTGTAGTCATAGTAACAGGTTTCTTTTAACCTCTGCCATCAGATGATTTGTCTCTATCTGTTTTGAATTCTACTTTGACTGAGTAGCTGGTGATAAAACACAAAGTGAGTACCATATGTAGCTGCTCCCCTCCCCTGTTTCCTATTGCAATATTAAATATTGAGAGATAGAAGATATAAGTCAGTTTCTCTACTAGAGGATTTAAATATTACCTTCAGATTATTTAAACTCTATTGCTAATTTAACAAATTAGATCAGCCTTCCAAAGTGAAGATAAAGGAATTCAGATGGAACAGATTATAAGAAATAACAGGAGATTCCTGGACTGAATGCCTATT